ATTCTCTCCCAGCTCATCAAACCAAAGTCAGCATTTTGCATTTGTTACCAGAAAAACCCATCCCATTAATGCTTTCTAACCTGGCACGAGCCCGCGTCGCACTTAACGTCCCATCATTTCCTCTGTCTCCCATCACTTCCTGAGCTGCGGCTGAAGAGGGGCCAAACCTCCAGCGGAGATCGATGCAGCTCTTGGCTTGCTGCCGGGAGAGATTTCACCCTGAGATGCTGAAGAAACTGTGTGGCACCCGGCTCCGTTTATAGAGGCTGTTGGTGTACTGGTTTGGGTGGTTTGAGCACTGCTAACTTCCACGATAAATTTAAAATTAATGGTCGATAGGCTGCTCGTGCTCGATTTGTGGCTGGGATCCAACAGAGTTTCTGTATTTCCCCAAACAAGACCAGAATTCCTCTGAAATGTATTATTATGGAAAAATACTGCTTTTTAAAAGCCACTGATTAATTCTTCCCAACTATCCTATTCCTGGGGCTGTATTTCTTTTTTTTTCCTGGCTTTGGATTTTAGATAGCCCAGTGAAGAGCATTTAAACCAAAACCAGTGAATCAGGAGCCATCTGTGTATTCACACGAGGAATAAATACGCCCGTGTATTGTGAGAGAGAACTTCGACAGGCTTGCTGCGCTTAATCCTGCCCCTGTTACTTAATTTTCCCTCCAGAAATTAATCTGGCATGGATGTCTCCATGGCACAGCCAAAGCAGCCAGCACAGCCCATTTCCCTGCCAGACAGAAATTATTATTATTATTTTTTAAACATAATCCAGCCAAACGGACACACAAGCATATGGAGCAGTGGGGTGGAAATCCTCTTTACGGCTCCGTGGGGTGGGAGCACTGCCGGGACGGCTGTACCTGGCCCGGCTATTTCAGGCAGCAAAACCACGGTAGGGTTTTGGCTCTGTCACGCGGCCGTGCCGAAATCAGCCTCACTGCAACTAATTTGAAGCTTCATTTGCATCTCCCAGCCAGCATGCAAACATCCCCGGTTGTTCCAGAATCAATCTGCTTATTGCAGCCCATCCTAAGCCTAAATAACTCCCCGTCCTGGTCTTTAGGTCTCTAGAGCCACGTGTGCCCTCACCCTCCAAAAAAGGGTGCCGCAGGAGCCCCAGCTTGCCGTGAGCATCCCATACAATTTTTAATTGCCTTCGGTGGCGTTTCCTCCCATTAAATATCAGCGTAGCTCAACACAGAGTGCGAGGAGTGAGTTTCACTCCTCTGGAGCGAGACAAACAGGGAGGACAGATTCCTCCTTTCCCCTGTAGGTCCCAGCCTGTTTTATTTTCTATCCATCAACCTGCAGAGCATCTCTCTATTTCACAGGATAATGGATTTAGACACACCGTCGGCAACCGCTAAAAGCATCCTTTCCTCTCCCAGAACCCCAAGATTTCCAAACCAGCCCCAAACACTGCCGATCCCATCAATATTTTCTCGAATCAATCATCCAAGCTCTGCCAATCTTCCAGCCACCCCCTTGGTCACCGGCGTTGCCGCCCTTGCCCGTATCTGCCGGGAGGGACGATGAGGGGCGAACCCAAATTTTGTGGGGTGCTGGCCATGGTTTTCCCCGGGGAAGGAGGGTGGGTGCTGGCTGGGCTGTTAGGGGCTGGGCTGCGCAGGAGCCAGCTCCTCCCTCTCACTATTTATTCCTCCCCGTAGCTCTGCGACCAAGGCTGAATCACCCCGAACCGAGCAAGCAACGGGCTCCCAGCCGGTGGGTGTCGGGGAAAAATGGGACTTGGGGGGCTGCGGGTGGGATAAATCCCGAGGCGAGGGGGATTTTAACACCGAGCAGCATCACAGGGGTTGGGGGGGCTGCCTCCTTTCCCCGCCATTGCTGCCTAAAAATAGACATTTACAGCTCCAAAGGCGAGCGTCCTCCTTGAAAGGCAGAGCTCCGCTTCTCCCGGTGCTTGTTTATTCCGGGCTGAGTCAAAGCTGATGCTGCTGGGAGATTTCTTCCCCCAGCCCAGAGCTACCTGGAGGGTTTTGTTCTTCCCTGTGGCTCCCAGCTGCGCAGGACTCTGGCTCCCCACGATTTAGGAGGTTAAAAAAAAATGGGGGGACGTTTCTAAAATCTAGGGGTGGCGTTTTCAGAAAGCAAACTGCCAGCCTCCGTCCCCTCTCCCCACTCCCCAGTCCTTATTTTTCCCCCCCGCAACGAGCCGGGACCTTCCCAGCATCACCAGGAGGGTCCAGACACCCCTGTTCCTGAGCATCTTCCCACCCTCCTCCACCTTCCTCTTCCTCACCTCCCTTCATTTCTGTGCTCCTCTCCTCCACGGGCACCTTAACGAGGTTATTTCCGCAGTTATTTCGGCTCCGGGGTGTTGGTTTTCCTCTCCAAACCCAAAGCCGCCTTCTCGCCAGCCCTGCGTACGTAATTGCTGCTTGCGATCGCTCCTCGCATCCTCCATTTTCCGCCTCCCCCTCTGCTCCGAAGGAGCGCCGGCTTTCCTCCGGTTCTCCCGCACAAGCGTGGATATAAACGGCTCCGACTTAAATCACCTGAATTAATTTCTCCTTGCCTACGTTTGTCTGCAGAGAGAAAAGCGGGAGAGGGAGATTAAAAACAGTCAGGAAAAAAATACCTGCGAAGCCATTCGATAATATAATTTAATAATAATATAACAGTCACGCCACAAATATCATTTCCGAGCAGAGGGCACCCAGATCTGACCCCGAGGAAGCGGCTCCCCGAGCCCCGTCGCGCGCCGGCGGTTTGTGCCAGCAGCCACATTCATTTGGGGTGAAGCTCAGCTGCCCAAGGAGCTCGGTAATTAGCAGCGCGAACGCAAACGAGGCTTTGCCCTGTTTATCAGAGCTCGTCTCTGTGAAGGCAATTAGAGGAACAGGTCAGCGTTGCCAGGCTGGAATATCCTCTGGGGCTTTGCTGTAACCTGGATTTTATCCAGGATTTAATTTTTTCCCCCTGTGCAACTCACCGCAAGGAGTCACGTCTTAAAAAAATAGATTAAAAACTGTCAATTTGCTGTTTTTTCCCCCCATTTCCTATTTTTTTTGGAGCGCCCAAGGAGCATTCGCCCATTAAGTTTTTTCCATGTCTTCTGGCTATTTTTAACCCCCCCCGAGCTCATCCTCGCTCCCAGCGACTGGGTGCTGTGGGGCGAGGGAGGCCGGCAAACCCCTCGAGAGCGGGAGGCTTGCCCCCAGTTTTTTGACGAGCTGGCGGCTCGCCGAGCCCAGCTTTCCTCCCCACCACAAGGGACAGGCTTCTGTATCTTCCTTGCTCTTTTAATTAAGCCTCTTGCTAATGAACCCAACCAAAACACTGGCGTTAAAGGAACTGAATTCAAACGCTTTCAGACATAAGACCAGGGTTTTTTTGGGGGTAGGGGGAGAGAAGGAGCATCATTATCTGAACCCAAAGAGAGAATAATTTGCTTTTTATGCACTGTAAAACCATAGCTAGTGTGCAACAGAAGAATTTCTGGCTTAAACAGGGGTTTATTCGGCCCGTTTGTGCTGTTAAGGGCAATATCTCACGAGAGAGAGATATTATTATATCATATTATTATCTCTTACCTGCATTAAACGTCTTTCTGGGTTGAGTGGTGACTCTTAAGGAAGCCGGTCCATTAGTTGCTGCAAAAAACCCACTCAGGACCCAAACCTTAATTGCTTCTTGCAGTAACACGAGCCAGCAAGCGCATCCAAAGCATCCAAGGATGCTGTGAAATGCCCACTCACGCTTTGCCGGGAATGCTTTGCTCTCCCTCCCCAGCATCCTGGCATGCATGAGCGGATTTTGGGGGACAGCTCAGCTTCGGGCAGGATGTCAAAACCCTTTGCTGTTGCTGGACTCGCATATTAAACACGATGGTAACAGTAATTCAGTGCTCCTTGGCGCTGTGGGGAGGCATCCGAAGGGATTTTGCGGCTTGGGGAGGTGTTTTCCAAAGGTCTTTCCAACAGATTTGCAGACCTGGCGTGTATTATAGGGGCTGGATTAGACACAGGGAGAGAAACTGCTTTTTAAAATGGGATTTTCATCCTTGCCAGCCCACTAGCTAACGGAGATGCCTGGCATGGCCCCGGGGTGCCAGCAGCAAAATGCTGAGTAAGCAGATATTTGCATACACAGTAAACTAGAAGGCGGCTGTGCTTCAGTTAAGCCCTGTTGCACATAAACAGAGACTTGGACAAAACACGCTGAATTTCATTCTTTGGGAGAAAAAAAAACAACCTCCGGTGCAAGGCTCCTTGCAGCCCCGCGTACCGGAAAGCTTGGAGACTGGGATGAATCTGTTCATACAGCCACCAGGCCTTGCACATCAGAAACCTCGTTTATCTCACCTGACTGGATAGAGCAGGTTTGAGGAGCAGATTTTTACCTCCCAACCAAGTGAAGCATTTTTTTCCTGAAAGCTTTTCTTCTGCTAATTAAAATGGCCATCATTAGCAGAGGAGGGAGCCGAAAGCCTGTGGTGCTCGCAGGGGCTGGAAGCTGCGGGCTCTCTGCCTCCTGCCCATAACGCTGCCTGTCCTTGTGTCCCGCAGCCATGGCCAGGCTCCTCGTCACCTGCTGCCTGGTGGCCCTGTTCCTCGGCGCCTGGACTGACATCGCCTTCTCCAAGAAGAGCAAAGGCAAACCCAGCGGAGGAGGCTGGGGCACGGGGAGTCACCGCCAGCCCAGCTACCCCCGCCCGCCTGGCTACCCCCAGAATCCCGGCTAACCCCATAATACCGGGTACCCCCGGAAACCCCCCAAACCCAAGACCAACTTCAAGCACGTGGCCGGGGCGGCGGCGGCGGGCGCCGTGGTGGGAGGTTTAGGGGGCTACGCCATGGGACGCGTCATGTCGGGGATGCACTATCGCTTCGACAGCCCCGATGAGTACCGATGGTGGACCGAGAACTCGGCGCGTTACCCCAACCAGGTTTACTACCGGGATTACAGCAGCCCCGTCTCGCAGGACGTCTTCGTCGCCGACTGCTTTAACATCACGGTGACCGAATACAACATCGGACCCGCCGCCAAGAAGAACGTGTCGGAGGCTGGGGAGGCGGTGAACCAAACGGAGGCGGAGCTGGAGACCAAGGTGGTGACGAAGGTGATCCGGGAGATGTGTGTCCAGCAGTACCGCGAGTACCGCCTGGCCTCCGGCATCCGGCTGCATCTCGCTGACGCCTCCCTCGCCGCCCTCCTCCTCCTCACCCTCTACGCCATGCACTGAGGCACCCTGGATCCCGTGGCTTCGAGATGTCACCCGTGTCCCAGTGGGGACTCCCCAAACCCTCTCTTTCTTGCTTGCGGTCATCTTTGGTGAAGAGCCCTTGGGGCGCACGGCCACCGACGCTCCCCATCACCTCCCCGGAGGCTCTGGTTTAGGCAACCGGATGAAAATTTCCTTCTCCACCCCAAAACGCATCCCTGGCATGGCAGGACCGTGGATGGAGCTGGATGCCCCCCAAAAAATGGCCTTCACCACCTCCTCCTTGAGGCCACCCTGAGTGGGACCGCACGGAGAGGAGCTCACCCGGTCCTTGGCATCCCTGCAAGAGCATTTCCAAAAATCCTCTTTGCTAACAAGCAGGGTTTTACTTAATCCCCTTAGGCCCGCTGCCACAAAAACCCCTTTTCTTGGGCACGCCACGGCATTGGGGCTTTAGGAGGGTCAGATATGGATTTTCTAAGCTACAAGCTGCCGGGTTGCAATTTTAACCCTTTAATCCTAACCTCCACCCTTCCTTGTGTATATACAGACCTGCCCGCTCCGCACCTTGCATGCTACAAATATCTCCCGCAGCAACACACAAAAATAAAGTGATTTTCCCCCCCACCCCCTGCAGCAAGGCTGGAGCCCCGGCTGGGGTTTGGTTCACCCCTCGCCGCTTTGCTTTCGGTTGAGCCTCGCTGTCTTTCCTAGCCTGTCTAAAGGCAAAAAGTGCTGCTGAATGCCCCCAAAAAAACCCAAAGTGGTAACGCTTGGTGTGTGACAGCCTGAGAAAAAGCTATTTTGGATGTGCTAGAAGGGACAAGTCACGCTCACACTTTGGCACCTTGACCTAAATGACGTGAAAATACAGCAAGAAGGATGCTCAGGGGCACGAAACATGTAGCAAGAGACTTAAATCGACTTAACTGGATGGTTACAGCAAAGCGAGTCGGGAAAAGCAAGCCCGAGGGATGGGAGATGCTTGTAAAAACGCCCACCTTTTGCAAGTCATTTGTGGAAGCGGCAGGCAAAATTCTTGCTTCTTGTGTTTGGGTCGATGCTGGGTCCTACGTAACCTGCAGCACCTGTAAAGTTGTGCTTGTCGAACCAGTTGCCCCAGGCTATATTTAATATCTCTTGAGTATTTTTTTTTGCAAGGCACTGAAATACATCATCCCAAGTGATTTTTTTCGCATCGGTGTAAGCTAAGTGAAGAGATCAGGGCTTTGAGGTAACCCGTACTTTGTGATACGCGAATGTTTTGTAAATCCGTAACGGTGCATGCACAGAATTTGCCGTTCCGATACTTTTTGAAGTGTTCTGGTACAAATTAAAACGGATAAAGCCAAGACGCACGTCAGCCTCCTTCGTGCAAACAGCTCTCGCCCAGCCCCGCAGGGCCGCGCACAGAAGCGGCATTTTTCGCCCTGTCTGTCCCTGCCTCCCCAGCCTGTGGGCGCCTTTGTTCCCTTTCAGCGCTACATTTGGCCCAAAACCCACGATTTCAGTTAACCTTTTCTCCTCCTCTCCTCCCATGAACGGTATCGCTATGCCCCAACAGATATTTCCTAATAAATCCAATGCACTGGTTTGGAACAGGGATTTCTTCTCCCCGTAGAAACTCAACACCCATTTATACCTTGTACGTACTCCATCTATTTTCTGTCTAATAAAAGAGTTTTTACATTTGCTGTTTCGGTGGCGTTGAGCCCAAACAACTTCACGTGAAGCCTCAACCCCTACTTAATGTTGCCAGAAATCCAAATCTCCCCCGTACCTAAGCCAGCATCACCGTTAGATGACTTCGACTATAGCGAGGGTTAAAAATTAAAATTAAAAAGACAGAAGAGTTGGGACCCTTCAGCCAGACCGTGCTTGAATTTCACACTCAGGACCAAGCCTTGGACCTGTTTGGTTTGAGCCTATGCAGGATACGATTTATTGCGCTGCAAACCCCCTTGCCCACAAGGATGCTGAAGAACTTGGTCGTTAAGTGGTGTTCCAGGTAAGCCCCAAATGTGACTCTTGTGCATACTTTTGGCAGAAAAATAAAGGGGAAAAAACCTATTCTGCACTAAATAGATCATTATTCCCGAGTACAAGCCGCTCGTTCACGAAGAGGAAACCTTAAGAGGTCCATAACAGGATCCAGAGCTCCCGTAGGAGCTCAGAAAGAGCAAAATGAAAGCTTTTTTTTGCTTGAAATTGGCTACTGGGCATCACCACGTTATCTCTGAATATTGCTAAGTGGAGCAGCAAATGAGGAGCGGGGCAAAAAAATATATCGCAGGCAGGGTTTAGTACCGGAGCTGGTTTCCAAACCAAGGAAAATAAAAATAAAACGTCAGGATCACATGCTTCACATCTTCCCTGCTCAAAAGCAATTTAAAAAATGGTGATGGAAAGGAGGATTTAGGGAATAAAAAGCCCCCGTGAGGTTATTGGGTCTGTCCTAAGCATCCCTACAGCTGCTGCTCATCCTGCTCCAACTCCGCACCCAACAGCATCCCGAAAGCTCTCCAGCTCCAAACTTGACGGGGACATTTTATTTAGGGTGTTATTCTGCCCTCCGTACTCACAGCTGAATAGCTCAGACTTTTCCCTGTGTCATTTCAAGGGGGGGGGAACTGGCTGAATGGCCGAGCTCAGAGGGTTGTCATCAGCGGCGCTGAGTCTGGTTGGAGGCCGGTAACCAGTGGTGTCCCTCAGGGGTCAGTACTGGGCCCAGTCTTGTTCAGCTTCTTCATCAACGACCTGGATGAAGAGTTAGAG